TGTATGACTTATTTTATTTGTAGAGTTGTGTTGTGATATCTTCCCGTGAGTCCCTGATCTTGATCGTACACATTTGCGTGCATGATTAGTGTACGATTGAATCGGGGGCGTCACAGCCCCCTGGTGGCCCTCCGATGCCCATCGTCTGCTATATGGAGTCTTTCGATGAGGAAAAAATCATAAGCCAGCTTTCGGGACGAGACTCCGCTGCCACGAGGCGGAACCTTGGCGGAATCAATCTAGGGCTTCGGCGGAGCTGTTCTGCCGGGAAACTTCCCTCCGGGAGGGGGAAATCATCGCCATCGTCATCACCAACGATCCTCTCATCGGGAGGGGGTCAATCTCCATCAACATCTTCACCAGCACCATCTCCTCTCAAACCCTATTTCATCTCTTGTATCCAATTCTTGTCTCTAAGTCCGAGATTGGTACCTGTAGGTTGCTAGTAGTGTTGATTACTCCTTGTAGTTGATGCTAGGTTGGTTTATTTGGTGGAAGATCATATGTTCAGATCCTATATGCATATTAATACTCCTCTGATTATGAACATGAATATGCTTTGTGAGTAGTTACGTTTGTTCATGAGGACATGGGAGAAGTCTTGCTATTAGTAGTCATGTGAATTTGGTATTCGTTTGATATTTTGATGAGATGTATGTTGTCTCTCCTCTAGTGGTGCTATGGGCGATGGGCCCAGACCCCTGTGCGCTTAGGTTTAGACCGGCGTGCTGGCCTCTCTGTTTTGCCTAGGTGGGGCTGCGACGTGTTGATCTTCCGAGGCCGGGCATGACCCAGGAAAGTGTGTCCGGCCAAATGAGATCGAGCGTGTTGGGCTATGTGGTGCACCCCTGCAGGGAAGTTAATCTATTCGAATAGCCGTGATCTTCGGTAACAGGACGACTTGGAGTTGTACCTTGACCTTATGACAACTAGAACCGGATACTTAATAAAACACACCCTTCCAAGTGCCAGATACAACCGGTGGTCGCTCTACCTCAGGGATATGAGGAGGGGATCGCCGGGTAGGATTATGCTATGAGATGCTACTTGGAGATGCTACTTGGAGGACTTCAATCTACTCTCTTCTACTTGATGCAAGACGGTGGCTGCGAGAAGCGTAGTCTTCGACAGGACTAGTTATCCCCCTCTTATTCTGGCATTCTGCAGTTCAGTCCACTGATATGGCCTCCTTACACATATACCCATGCATATGTAGTGTAGTTCCTTGCTTGCGAGTACTTTGGATGAGTACTCACGGTTGCTTTCTCCCCCCTTTTTCCCCTTTCCTTTCTTTCTGGTTGTCGCAACCAGATGCTGGAGTCCAGGAGCCAGACGCCACCGTCGACGACGACCCTTACTACACCGGAGGTGCCTACTACTACGTGCAGCCTGCTGACGACGTCCAGAAATAGTTAGGAGGATCCCAGGCAGGAGGCCTGCGCCTCTTTCGATCTGTATCCCAGTTTGTGCTAGCCATCTTATGGCAACTTGTTTAACTTATGTCTGTACTCAGATATTGCTGCTTCCGCTGACTCGTCTATGATCGAGCACTTGTATTCGAGCCCTCGAGGCCCCTGGCTTGTATTATGATGCTTGTATGACTTATTTTATTTGTAGAGTTGTGTTGTGATATCTTCCCGTGAGTCCCTGATCTTGATCGTACACATTTGCGTGCATGATTAGTGTACGATTGAATCGGGGGCGTCACAAGTTGGTATCAGAGCCGACTGCCTGTAGGAATCCCCCTTCCAACTCCTTGGCCGAAGTCGAGTCTAGACATTGCAAAACTTTTACTAACATGGCTGTGTGTCTTACGGGCACACGTCGCCATTGGGTGGTAGTAGGATCTTTTACTCCTCGACCTTTACTCTGGGACTCTGATCTCTCCTCTATTCGGGTTAAATGAAGTTTACTAAATCTAACACTAGGATCTCGTTATCACTTTCACCCGGAGAGCCCCTTGTTACTGATGATCGTCTGCTGCACCAGAAGACCCTGAAGATACTCTCCGCTGTTAACCCGAGAACTTGTGTTCATCGCGTTTGCAATTCCCCGTCCACTGCAAACCCTTATGGATAACTACTTGCAGTTGTTATTCTTACATTCATCCCTAGTGGTCTTGTTATTACAAGATACCCTGAAAAACTCGTCATTGTTTCGATAATCCCTTGAGCTTACTGCCTTGCTGTTCTTTGTCACTTGAATACCCCTACGGTTAATTCTCGCACTTATCGAGTATCCACTCATCCCCCAGTTGTTCATGTGTTACACAAAAGTCTTCGAAATACCACCCGATATTCCGACAATCCTCAGCAACCTATTGCTCTGGAATTTCTTGTTTGCTTTCATTATGATTAATCCCATAAGTATAGAAATCTTATTGACATTCCTTGTCATTATCATTTTGAGTATGTTGACTCAATATGTTGCGAATACACGCAATCATCATTGATCCTTATAAATTACCTTTCCGGCTGAGCTTCCATTCTTTAACTGGAATTGGTTCTCGACCAATCCAATTGTCTTTGATTGTACCCTAAGGCTATTCAACTTATCCACCCCTAATCAGAGCATTGCTTCTGATCCCTTGATTTGGAAATCATAATTCCTTTGCATTTGACAATTGAGTTAGTCAATTGTTTCTATAATCTGCTTCCTCTAGTTGAGTACCGATGCTCACACCAGATCCCTTATGGACCACCAGATCCTTTGTTGGATTTATCTGACAACGCCCTTCATATTCAATAACCTTGTGAGCCTTTCCTCGGATACATAATGCCTTTGGTAAATTGTATCCTCTGCTTTTCTCAACCATGCTCTGTCATCGAGTTTGAGTTAATTACTCCTAAAGATTGTGGTATATGTTTCTAAGAAGCCCCTATGGGTTGAACATATGCTTTCTCTAAACCGTGTGAACCCAAAAGTTTTCACGAATCATACTCTTCTGGTGCTTCGCCAGATAAAATTTCAACACTGCAACTCCAACAAACGTGAGGAGTAAATAAAAGGTTATGCATTGGAGAAGTGGGAGTCGACCTTGAACTTGTGTTCATGCCCATGGACACGATGTAGATCTTGTCGTTAAAGCTTCTCTTAAACTAGTTATTCCTTTGGTATAAGTTCAGCTTATATCAGGGATCTGGCCTTTTGCAATCGTGGTTCCGACCATGTTCTCTTTTGAATACCATTTCTCGTGCAAGCTTTAGCACTTGTCTTCTGTGTTCCGACCATGATCTTCTGTAGAGCTCATGCAGGTCTTTTCAAGCCACACCGAACCGAAGTCAGTACGGACGTACCCAGTTCTGCATGTGCTTGGACACACCTTTTAACTTGCTATAAGAAGGCCCGTGAGCCCACTGTTCCCTGTGTCGTGCATGCATGTCCCATGCATGATGTAAGAGCGGGATCCTATACAGCGCATAGGTCTCCCGCTAGCAACATACCCCCCCCCCCCAAAGCTCCCCGTTCAGCGTATGGGCGAGCCAATTTTGCGGTTTATTTTGCCACCGGTTTTGGAAAGGTTGTAGAACCTTCCCAGAACCCTTTTTTTTGTTTTCTATACTGGTTTTTCATTTTTTTCTTTTCAATTCTTCTTTGTTTTCTTATTTTTTCTTTCTTTTTTCCCCTTTTTTTGGTTTTTTCTTTTCCTTTTTATTTTATATTTTCTTCCTCTTCACTTTTTGACTATTTTTGTTCATTGTTTTCAAAAAATGTTCACCACATTCAAAATTTGTTCACTGAATTACAAATCTGTTCATTATTTTTTCAAAAAACTGTTCATCAAATTCAAATTTGTTCATGACTTTTTGAAAAAATGTTCTTGAATACAAATTTTGTTCATTAAATTAAAAAATGTCCATCAAATGCCAAATTTGTTTATAGATGTTCAAAATATGTTCATCAAATTAAAAAAGATGTTCATTCCTTTGAAATCACAAACATTTTTTGAATTCAAGAAATGTTTTGGAATTTGGTGAACATGTTTTAATTCTATTAGCATTTATCATTTCGCGAACATATTTTTTCAAATCATGAACAATTTTTGAATTCACGAACATTTCACAAGTTGTAACTTTATTGAAATCCCGAATTAGTATTACAATGAAAAAAAAATAAAAAAGAACAAAGAAAAGATGGTTCCGCTTTCCCTCCCCACACATGGGCCAGCCCATGAGGCAGCATGGGGTAGCGAGGGGTACGCGCTCCGTCGTTCGCTGGCGCGTACAACGCTAAATAGGAGGTCTCGATGTAGCAGCTCATTGAATCTCGGATGCATGGTCTGACCATCTCTTCAAATCGAAAGTTGCCCATATGGTCCATCATCCTGGCGTCTGAAATACTTTTGGAAAGACAATTATGGTTAGTTTCGGATAATACGCTCGGAAATATACAAATAGGAGATGTTTTATTCTATTTTGATTACATTTGGATAGACAATTATTACTATTAATACCATCCTTAGTATCTAGATAAACTAAGACTATATAAATAGAAGATTTCTTATTCTGGTTTGATTATGTTTAGGTAGACAATTATTATTATTAGTATCAGCCTTCATATATAGATAAATCTATGGCAATCTATAAATAGAAGCCTTTTATTCTGTTTTGACTATGTTTGGATAGACAATTATTATTATTAGTATCAGCCTTCCTATCTAAATAAATCTAAGACAATCTACAAATAGAAGATTTTTCATTCTGTAGACAATTATTATTAGTAGTATCAGGATAAATACATTTGAAATACCATGTGATACATGTGGTAAACGATCCACACATGTGAAATATATCTAAACATGTTTTAGTGTTAGATACGTAGATACCTTTGTATTTAGATAAATCTAAGCCAATTTTTTGGGGAGAGAGGTAACATATAAAAAGGGGTCTCGCACTCATGGGCAGAGCAACACGTAAAGCAAAGTTGGCCTACCTACGCAACGATAACAAGGCAAGCTACCTCGCAAGCCTGTGTGCACTCAGCAAGCAGCAGTCTCCACAATGTTGGCTTGCTGCTGCTTTGTGTCCCAGCTGCTCATCGTAATAACGCTCATACACCTTGCCATGACCAAGAGCAAGGTCCGCAGTGGCACATGCTCATCGGCGATGGTCCCGCTTCCACTTTCGCCGGGACCATGGTCGTGGCCACTGGTGGGTAGCCTGCCCGAGATGGTGCTCAATAAGCCAGCGTTCCGTTGGATCCATCGCGTGATGAAGGATATGGGCACCGACATCGCTTGCTTCCGCCTTGGCGGCGTCCACGTCGTCCCGATCACATGTCCCAAGATCGCAAGGGAGGTGCTCAAGAAGCAAGACAAGAACTTCTTGTCCCGCCCACTCACCTTCGCCTCCGACGCCATCAGCTGCGGGTACAAGGACGCCGTGCTCACGCCGTTCGGCGACCAGTGGATGAAGATGCGCAAGGTGCTCACCTCTAAGATCATCTGCCCCTCCCGCCACAAGTGGCTCCATGACAAGCGCGCCGACGAAGCTGACAACTTGACGCGTTACATCTACAACCTCACCGCCGTGGGGTCATCTTCAACGTTGGGACTAGCCAACGTCAATGTCAGGCATGTCACACGACATTACTGCGGCAACGTCATCCGCCGGCTTGTCTTCGGCCAACGGTACTTCGGGGAGCCTCAGACGGACGGCGGGCCGGGGCCGATGGAGGTGGAGCACATGGATGCTTCCTTCACCCTCCTAGGGCTCCTCTTCTCGTTCTGCATCAGCGACTACCTCCCGTGTCTACTTGGCCTAGACCTCGACGGCCACGAGAAAATTATTAAGGAGGCCAACACAAAAGTGGATAGACTGCACAACATGGTCATTGAAGAGCGTTGGAGGCAATGGAACAGCGGCGAGAGGCAGGACGGGGTCCAGGACTTCCTTGACGTTCTCATCACGCTCGCCGATGGTGACGGCAAGCCATTGCTCAACATCGATGAGGTCAAAGCACAATGCAAGGTAAGCAAAATATTAATTAATGAGAAATTTTAAGATGGTTCAAGGGCCTAGATTGAATCTAGTGACCAATTGCCTCATAGTCCTACAAGGTAATACGTCATCCATGAGAAAAGGTAATAGCTCACACTCTTAAATAGATCTTATACTGTATTTCACAGGTGTTAGAAAAGGGAAACAATAGAATAAGAAATTATGAATTGATAGTTTAAACATATCATTATTGCATTTTTCTACCATTTTGATGTGATTTCAACTTAAACTGTATTTAAAATTCCAATTAGTCAATGTAATATATCTTCATGCAAATATATAAATTGTATTAACTTACATTTATCTCCATGGAATGCATGCAGGACATAATATTAGCGGCCATAGATAACCCGTTAAACGCAGTGGAGTGGGCGCTGGCAGAGATGGTGAACAACCCAGAATTGGTGGCCAAAGCGGTGGAGGAGATGGACCAGGTGGTCGATCGCGAGCGACTGGTGCAAGAGTCGGACATCATGCATCTCAACTATCTCAAGGCGTGCATACGTGAGGCATTTCGCCTCCACCCAGTCGCTCCCTTCAACGTGCCGCATGTCGCAATTGCCGACACCATTGTTGCGGGCTACCGCGTTCCCAAGGGTAGCCACGTCATCCTCAGCCGGCTGGCCCTGGGCCAGAACCCCACCGTCTGGGATGAACCACTCCACTTCAAGCCAGAGCGCCATATGGGAGACAACATCAATGTGGTGCTTACCGAGAGCGAATTGCGGTTCATCTCCTTTAGCACCGGACGGCGGGGATGCATCGCGGCATCACTAGGAACAACCATGAGTGTCATGCTCTTCGGCAGGCTCCTGCATGGCTTCACCTGGACCAAACCGTCTGGGGTGTCGGCCATCAATCTCCGCGAGTCCAAGCACGACCTCTTCATAGAGGAACCGCTAGTGCTACATGCTGAGCCACGTCTTGCAGCGCACCTCTACTCTCTCATGCACCGTTGAGCAAATAACGAGCTATGAATCACCAATAAGGCGAGTATGCTATTTTCTTGATGAATCTATGTACTTATATACTAATAAAGGAAGGCGATATTCTTATTTTCGTCCTGCTTTGTTTCGTTCCACTTCGATTGATTTTCACGTATGCTAGCTATTTTGGTTTTGTCCGTTTCACATATGAGCGAGCCGGTTTCTTTCATGCGTCGCTGGATCGTCCTAGGCTTGTCCAAAACATTGGAACAATACCTGCTAGCCAAACAACCACCCATCTACTGTTGATTTTGGACAGATAGAGATGAAAATGTATACAAGATGATGCTCTTTTTATCACCAACGAAGGATGACAGTGGGTCGGCCGTATACGTTGGGCAACTCCGTTTGAGTCGTTTCTTCCATCCCATGTCCCAGGCAGGGCAGCATAGCAGCCTATAATAGTCTTTTTATTTTGGTTCATCAATTAAATAGTGCCATCTATTTTTCTTACTTTGAATTCTACAAGTTTATATACGCTAGCAAGTTGCCATGGAAATCAACAAGCAGCCTCAAAAAACATAAAAAAACTCAGAGAGTGAGGTATGCAATGAGGACGCATATTACGAGGGTGATCTCCAATCTGAGATCCGAGATTATGGGCCAATGAAAGCAATAAAGACATGATTAAAGATCTCTGGTTATGGGCCAATGGAACCAGTGAAGACCCAACTAAATATCTGAGATTATAGGCCAATGAAAGAAATGAAGACCTGATTAAAGATTCAAGATTATTATGGGCCAATGGAAGAAATAAAGACCCGATTAAACCTCCAAGCTCATGTTGATGTGCATGCACTAGTAGAAAAACGGCCATTTGTCCCGGTTCGTAAGGCCCATTTGTCCCGGTTGGGAAACCGGGACTAAAGGGTCGTTACTAAATCCCTAAACCTTTAGTCCCAGTTCTTACACCAACCGGGACAGATGGGCCTCCATGTGGCCGTTGCGGCGAGCCCAGGCAGGAGGGCCTTTGGTCCCGGTTGGTGGCACCAACCCGGACCAATAAGCTACCACGCGTCAGCATTTCAGGGGCTAGGGTTTTTGTTTTTTTGAAAGGAGGGGGGTTGGGGGGTTTTGTATGGTTAATTTTGGGGGTTTCATATATTGTGTTAGGTAGCTAATTAATTAATAGAGAGAAGTGTCCTCTCTTATCTCCGTGCTTGGTAGACGCTACGTACTATACATATAGAGAGGCCCTCGACACGCTAGCTAGTAAGCAAATGAAGGAAACCATTAAGTACAGAAGTTCGTCATGAACATATTCATACAGAGAGAAGTGATATCGACCTCTCCTTCTCCGAGAGATCGGTCGAACAACAAGTTTTCATATATCTATTCGGCGCTACTGGCTACATATATACAATATTAAGATCTCTTACAATATAATCCCCTAATTATATATGAACTCAGCTTCCAGATGGTATTCTCTGGCTTTATTGATGACGTGGTCAAGAAAAAATCCCACCAATTCCTTTTGAATTGCTTTGATGCGATCTTGTGGTAGGAGGTCATCCCGCATCCGCCACATATAATTTGAAGAAGGGGGTCAATACATATATATGAATGAAACTTAACACAAATGATGGTAATATAATGAAATTGTGAATATTATTGCTTACGCACATCAAATTGTGTTTTAGAGTAGCCCCGGTTTTTTTGCAAGTCGCGTTGTAGATGAACTCACAAACGTAGTATCCACAATAATCATTCCCTTGTTCCTGCCACAAGCACTTTATGAGAAATAGCGAGGTCAATCAAACTGATAATGAAGCATTATAAATGGCATTGATGAAAGTAGCTAGAATCAACGGGATCGAGATGCGCAGCACTAGCTAGCTAGTACTACTTACTTTCGGGTATGTCCATCGCAGCTCCCTCGGCAGTCCCGGAGATTGTGTGGTGAATACTTTCCAAACCCTGCGAGACAAAGAAAACAATTACTTGATATCAGGAAATGAACAAAAAGTTGCCGATATGGCGCGATAATGATCGATTGAACTTACTTTTCGAGCATTTTAGTCATGTCCGCATAGGTCTCGGGAGATTTTTTTCTCGAGTCTAAGACGGTTACTAGTCCCTGCTCAAACTTAATCTCCAGGAGAATATAGTGGAAGCTGCGCACGCATGCATAACTCATTAATTATATTACTATAACCTCGAGTAATAAGGGAAACCGAATATGCACAAGACAGTAACACTCACTTGAAGTTGTAAGGAAAGAGTATTTTATCTTTGTTTTGATTTATTACCAGCGATTGGAGCAAGTTGGCCTCGGTTGCTTTGGCATCAAATTTAACCATATATTCATCTACGAGATTTGTGTTAATGAACCCAATATCATAGATTTCTGCTTTTCTGCATTCGACGATCTTCAATCTGCATAATATAGTGAGGATAATTATATATACATGCAATGAAAGAGCTGAGCTATATATAGAGAGACTTAATGACAAAAGTAGTACTTACAGACAGTAGCAAGTGGCCGTTAATTTATTAAGGGCCTTTTGTGTTGGGGAACGTAGTAATTTCAAAAAAATTCCTACGCACACGCAAGATCATGGTGATGCATAGCAACGAGAGAGGAGAGTATCGTCCATGTACCCTCATAGACCGTAAGCGGAAGCGTTATGAGAACGCGGTTGATGTAGTCTTACGTCTTCATGATCCGACCGATCCAAGTACCGAACGTACGTCACCTCCGAGTTCAGCACACATTCAGCTCGATGACGTCCCACGAACTCCAATCCAGTAGAGTTTCATAGGAGAGTTCCGTCAACACGACGGGGTGATGACGGTGACGATGTTGCTACCGACACAGGGCTTCGCCTAAGAATCGCTACGATATGATCGAGGTGGATGATGGTGGAGGGGGGCACCTCACACGGCTTGGAACAATCAACTTGTGTGTCCTCTAGGGTGCCCCTCCCCACATATATAAAGGAGGGAGGGGAGGCCGACCGGCCTCTCTAGGCGCGCCAAAGGGGGGAGGAATCCTCCTCCTAGTAGGAGTAGGATTCCTCCTTTCCTAGTCCTACTAGGAGGGGAAAGGAAGGAGAGGGGGAGGAGAAGGAAAGAGGGAGCACAACCCCTCCCCTAGTCCAATTCGGACTAGGCCCATGGGGGGCGCGCGGCCAGCCCTCGTGGCTTCTCCTCCTTTTCCCTTAAATCCCACTAAGGCCCATATGTACTCCCGTATTCCCGTAACTCCCCCAGTACTCCAAAAAAATACCCGGATCACTCGGAACCTTTCAATGTCCGAATATAGCCTTCCAATATATCGATCTTTACGGCTCGATCATTTCGAGACTCCTTGTCATGTCCCTGATCTCATCCGGGACTCCGAACGAACTTCGGTCATCAAATCACATAACTCATAATACAAATCATCACAAAACGTTAAGCGTGCGGACCCTACGAGTTCGAGAACTATGTAGACATGACCGTGACACGTCTCCGGTCAATAACCAATAGCGGAACCTGGATGCTCATATTGGCTCCTACATATTCTACGAAGATCTTTATCGGTCAAACCGCATAACAACATACATTGTTCCCTTTGTCATCGGTATGTAACTTGCCCGAGATTTGATCGTTGGTATCTCAATACCTAGTTCAATCTTGTTACCGACAAGTCTCTTTACTCGATTCCATAATGCATCATCCCGCAACTAACTCATTAGTTGCATTGCTTGCAAGGCTTACAGTGATGTGCATTACCGAGAGGGCCCAGAGATACCTCTCCGACAATCAGAGTGACAAATCCTAATCTCGATCTATGCCAACTCAACAAGTACCATCGGAGACACCTGTAGAGCACCTTTATAATCACCCAGTTACATTGTGACATTTGGTAGAACACAAAGTGTTCCTCCGGTAATCGGGAGTTGCATAATCTCATAGTCATAGGAACATGTATAAGTCATGAAGAAAGCAATAGCAGTAAACTAAAATGATCAAATGCTAAGCTAACGGAATGGGTCAAGTCAACCACATCATTCTCCTAATGATGTGATCTCGTTTATCAAATGACAACTCATGTCTATGGTTAGGAAACATAACCATCTTTGATCAACGAGCTAGTCAAGTAGAGGCATACTAGTGACACTCTGTTTGTCTATGTATTCACACATGTATTATGTTTCCGGTTAATACAATTCTAGCATGAATAATAAACATTTATCATGAAATAAGGAAATAAATAATAACTTTATTATTGCCTCTAGGGCATATTTCCTTCATTTTGATTGAACCACTGGAAGAACTCCTCAAATGGAACAGACAACAGTTCAATTCCAATGAGGTCGTGCTCCTGTTTAACTCTCAGCGTCAAAGTATTCTTCCCCCCAGACCCGCTGCATGTTTTCATGTACCAATCATGGAATCTTCGCATCATCATTGTCAGAATAGTTCCATCTCTGACGAGAGGCTTCCCGTACTGGTATTTGTGTTCGTCCACCTCCATTATATCAAAATTTGCACCGTCGGGCAGGTAATCTCCAAGATTGGTATAACTTGGCACCATCCTCGGTTCATTAGAGATGATATCGCTAGACACCTTGAGCGGGGGGCACGATTGGTTCGCTTGTTTGCTGAGCTGGGAATTTTTTTCCCAGCTCGTCGTTCTGCTAACCTTCGATCACTGATAGTACTTCCCGACCGCTCCGCTTTGATAAATGACTTTCCAATAATGCGCTCATAGTTGGTTTTCGGCGGAGACGGTGGTGGTTTCTTCAGGGCATCGGGTGTGCACTTTGCTTTCACCAGATCTACCTTCTCCTCCGGAGGTGGATGTTTCTTTGCTTTCACCGCTTCTAAGAAGTCCCTCACTTCGGCTTCCACAATCTTCGCGTTTTCCTCCACGGACCTCTCGTATGGTAACTTCTGTAGAGGCTTTAGAGATAGACCGAATCTTAATTGCCTCCCGCCTCTGGCTATACTGCTAGATGCCGGAGCAGACGGAGCGGCTGCGGCTG